TTAAAACTAATTTTTTAGATTTTAGATGTTAAAACTTATATTACTTAATATTATTAGTTTTAAACCCTATATTGTGTTTTTTTTTTAACAGAATTTAAATTCTAGTTTTGAATACTAATTAATAATACAAGGACTGCTGCCAAGTCACTTGAGTAAGATATGTTTTTGTTTTTACTTAAAAGTAAATTATGTATTTTGGCATTAAGAAAAAAAGTATTTTTTAACCCTGCGACCCCATCAATTTCTGGGGTCGTATTCACCCCACCTTGTCCACGAAGGGTAAACTTTATAAAACAATCTCATTTGTGTTTTACGAAATTTATGAATTGTTCTTACAATGATTCTGAGCAAACCTATATTATATTATTTTTTACTCGACGTCTTCACTATGTATGCCAAAGCAAGTCAAATGGCTACAAGTTATTTGACGTTGTATTTATTATTTTAGGCAGTCAACTATATCACAAAGCACTAGTTGGCGCTTAAAATTGAAAACGTGGTATCTAAAACGTCCAACTCGGGAAAGAATGAAAATCTAAGTTAAGACAATAAAAGTTTTATGGCTTCCATTGAAACGGACGCCGGCTAAAAAACCATTGCTGAATCTACAGCGATTTCTGAAGAACTTTTAAATTCCTCATTGAAAGATAGATTGGACACATCTCCACAGTCCAGGGTGATAGATCATTCAAAAAACAAAGAACATCATAACATCAGCTCGGTAATTTCAAAATGACTGCACTAGTATTCACCAATTGCCAAAAAAACGAGAAACGCAATTTGTAGATGTGCAACGACTGCAAACTTAACCGACTGTCAAAATCAATAACGATCAACAGGCGCGAGATTTAAATAAAACTTGCTGGTGAAAGTCTTATACTCTGTCCACCGTAGGTTGACCCACTCTCGCGCATGTATACTGAGCCGCAAAAGAAAGTAGAAAAAGTACGAAAAAGAAATGGAAAAACGACTCGAAGAGACTGAGGATGAGCTTGAGACGTATGACTCTCTAGAATACACTGAAGATCAGTCTTTCTGTACTTTTGCGCTTATTGAAGAATACTATAGACAAAACGAATGTTTCTACATAAACCATAACGGGTACATAATCGTTATTGACTGTCCAAGTGACTCTGACGATGAATCTCAATGTTCTTCGGTCTACGATGCTTGAATAAAAATCAACTCCAGATGCCAATTCATCTCAACTAAAACTTTAAGTAAAACAAAAAAACTTAAGATGAGAATAACCCTGTTAAAAGTTACAGCTGATTGGTCCTAACCGGAACTGTAACTGAAACTGATTTATACATTTTTTCTAATGAAATTATTATGTTGTGTTTTTAACTTGGGGTTAAAAAGTAGTGTGTAAAAAAAAAAAAAATAATTTTAAAACTTAACGTTACCGGCCACCTTTAAAAAGAATACGAAAGGTGTGGGTTGGTTATTACTTATTCGAATTACCACTTAGAGTTACTGTTATAACTTATTAACTTTTTAACTTATTTGTAATAATAAACAGAAAGAAATAGACTTTAAAAAAAAAAAAAAAAAACACTGAATGTTGACTAAAAAGAATATTCGAATTTTTTTTTAAGGGTGTTGGGTTTGTCGCCCAATAGGGCACGTGGCTCGTGTGTGTACCAGTAAGTACCTAACATTACGTAGTACATAGTATATACGGTCATTAAGGCACACCTATATATTATAAACAAATCCATGGGTATATGCACTATTTTAAACGATAATTGGGGAAAGCAATGCCTTGCACCTTTCGCATTTAATGTAAAATTGCTTTATACAGTGTACTCACATAAAGCTCAGAATAAATGATAAGGCCCAATAAAAAAAATCACTTAAGGAAATTAAAAAAAATACAGCAATTTTTCTGTGATATATGTAAGAAGTTTTTTAACACGAAATGGAAAGTGGAACATCACATAACTCGATCACATAGTGCATATTCATCGACCCAGAAAAGTACAATCAAAATACAATCATCAATAAAAATATCATGTAAGGCAATGCATTTAATATAATAAATTATCTTTTTGTCAAAACTAAATAGCAAAAATGTTCTTCTTATAATTTACATTACATATCATTTAAATATACAGTAAATTCACTATTTAATAACTCATAAACTTATTTATAAATCTGCAGTGTAAGTTTACATTAAATATTTAATTTAAAAAAAAAGCCAGTACATTGGGTTGGGGGCATAGTGGGGACAGACGGAGAGGTCACAGGTCTACAGATTTTATGTAACTGGAATTGATAAAATCACTTTTAAATAAACGCTTCGAAATTACTTAGATTTTGACTATCATCATCATCATCACTGTCGCAGGACTGAGTTGTATCAATGTCATGATCGCTTTCGTATACATAATCTACATCCGAAACATCTGAATAAGCGATTTCATCATTTTCCTCTAAGAAAACTCTAATTCGATCTTCATCCCAAGAACTCATTTTTAAATTATAATGTCGAAAATATAACAACAAGCAATATAACTGTTGAAATTCGTCTAATAAATTTAAAAAAATATGTTATATGTGATAACATGTGCTAGTATGTCGACCATGTAATAACGTTTTTTTTTCACACACGCGAACAGTGGTCATTATGACCGATATCAGTTTTAAAAAACGAATTATCACGTAAATCTGTTATAAATATACAAAATGACACAACGAACATTACTCTTAACAGTTAATTGAAAGGTACCATGAAGTTCAAGTGGATAAGGGGTTCCTAAAATGTGTAACGCAAAAACCAAAAAAACTAGCGGTCGAAAAGACTGATGCCGGTTTAATAATGGTTTACAGAAAACACGCTAATAGTATAATTATAATCAGTAAAATGATCATGGTCGCTAAGTAATTACTATGATACATTGTTCAAGCGTTATCAAGCCGGGCACCGTCCCACCACCACCGACTGCACCGACCACCACCGCACCATATCACTTACTATCCGTTTTTTTTGTTTACCGCATCGTACCGACCGCACCGTTAACCGCTCGCGTAAAAGAAACTTTACACCGTTTTTCGTTATTTGTTGTTGTTTTTTAATTATTAATTACATATCAACCGCCTGCTGTGATGAGCTCGTGTACTTGTGCGACGTTCGAAGAATTAGTCTTGTTCTCGTAAAGTAATCAACAGTTTGCGGGCTTTCACCACCGTTCAGACGACCGTACCGTCTTGCAATACCACCACTACCGACCGTCACCGTTCTCGTATTTTCAAGTTGTAAATATTTGCTTATTGTATAGTTTTAGTTTTAAGTCCTTAGTAATTGTTGTTGTAGTGCGCTGGCCAGCCGGTAAGACATTTGTATACTTAACTTTGGTTTAATAGTAGTCTGCATGCTTTAATTAACATTTGTTTTTTTTTGTATATATATTTGAAACCAATACAGTCCACAACATTACCGAACATTATTGGTCCTTCGAGCCTAGGATTATTTATGTATTTTAGTATTAAGTTTTCCTAAGTGGTTGAACCACCGGTTTTAAGTTTTAAGTTTTTAAGTTGGCGTATAATAATACACTTGTTGCGCGTGTGCAAAGTTGGACTTTGGACCCTGCCGTCGGTATAGTACGACGCGAGTATACACGCGATAAGTGGACGTAGCCACCCCGCGCCGCGAAGGCAACGGACACCGCACCGCGTTGCCAAAGCTCGCGGCCGCTCGCTGCATAACACCGCGCGCCGCCACGTCTTGTGTGCGTGTATACAGCGTGACCCCAAGTATAAAAAAAAAAAAAAAATTGTATTTCTAATTTTTCATTTTTTATTTTTATTTTTTTTATTTTTCTGTTCCTGTGCTTTATAAATTACACAATGGGAGTTTACGAGGAAGCAAAGGCGCGCATAACAAGTCTTCAGTGTCGAGTACAGCGCGTATACGAGGCCGGGGAAGCATTGGGAAATGATTCTTCAAACAAGTTGGCCAAAACTAAATTTAAAATTATGTTTGCGACAATAGAAAATTTATATTCGGATTTTGAAACGCAATTAATGGTAATAATACGTCACCAATGTAAAAGTACACCCGTGGTAGATGCTATCGACACCGATAGTGTGCGTGCTCTTTTTGAGGAGAAGTATATCGGATGTAAAATATTTGCGGACGAATACTTACCGGAGGCAGTTGTCGACGATTCGCTCAACAAAACATTTTTTGAATCAAAAGCTCTCAGCGCCTCACAACCCTATCACCCGATCGAAAAATTAGCAGTACCTAAATTTGGTGGAAACCCTATGGAATATACCAGTTTTAGGAATATGTTTGACAAATTAGTTGGTGAATCTAATATGTCGCCAGTGGTGAAGTTTGGTTACTTGAAATCTTATTTGGTGGGAGAACCATTAAGTTTGGTATCTAATCTCATGTTGACTGATAGCAACTACGAACTAGCTTTGGCGCAGTTAACTGATCGTTATTCAAACCGCCGTGTTATCGCGGATAGTCACATTGAAGCTCTATTTAACGCGCCAAGAGCAACCTTCGGTGATGGTAGTTCTATAAGAAAACTACTAAATGTAATTTTAGAATCAACGGGTGCTCTCCAAAATCTATCGTATGCAGTAGATCAATGGGACCCCATTCTACTACATCTATTACAAAAGAAATTAGACAATTATTTAAGAGCGCAATGGGAACTACTAGTAGATACCTCCGAGGACCCATCTATGAAGGAGTTTACCACGTTCTTAACAAAATACTGCAAATCAGCTACCGTATCGCAAGGAAGTGTCAAGGTAACCACAAAAGGACTCAAACCAAACAAATCTATCACATTATTCAGCAGCCAACCAGAACGAAAGCTTGAACAGGGAAGGAAGAATAAGTCATTTTCCTGTCCTGTCTGTAATACACAACCGGTCACTTGCTGATAAACTGTCAATCGTTCAAAGATAAAACACCAACCGAACGGCATCAAACAATCAAGGAATTGAAAAGATGTTTTATCTGTTTCAGTGCGCACATGGCCAGTGAATGTAAAAACCAACGAAACTGTTCTACGTGTGGGGGTAAGCACCATACTCTACTGCATTTGGAAAAAACCGAACCGAACGTTACCACGACCCATTTAACCGTTGCGGCTGCAGAAACAAAAGGTTATCATACGTCCGTTTTATTAGCGACAGCCTCTGTAGTTCTGCAAAACAAAAATGGTCAATCGGTTACAGTAAGAGCACTACTTGACAGCGCAAGTCAAAGTAGCTTTGTCACTGAACGTTGTGTCCAGCTTTTAGGCTTAAAAAGAGAAAAGTGTGATGTAACCGTTCAAGCGTTGTCCGGAGCTGAAGTCCCAGCGGTAAGAGGAAGAGCTAATGTCGAAGTACGACCGGTCGACCAACAAAGTCCCATGTTCAGCATTGACGTTTTAATTCTAACGCGTATTACTGGACCAGTTCCGTCGAAAAGAGTGTGGAATCATTCATGGCCACACATCAAAGGTTTGAAGTTAGCCGATCCATCGTTTGCCGAAGCGTTACCAGTTGATGTCTTGCTCGGCGCTGATGTCTTTCCACAGCTTCTCTTAGGCGACAAGGAAGAAGGTGAGGTAGATGAACCGATAGCGCTATCTACGGTGTTTGGCTGGGTTTTGATGGGTAAAACGACCAACGGTCCAAAACAACAAATTATCACCTTATGTTCGTCTGAATCCGTAAATCATACGTTACAACAATTTTTCGAGATCGAAGAAGTTCCAAAAGTTGAGAAAAATAACCCAGCCGATTTAGAGTGTGAGCAAATTTATCAAACAACCACAACACGACAACAAGATGGACGATACATAGTGCATCTTCCGTTCACACGAAATCCCCCTCTACTTGGGAAATCCAGAGACGTAGCGCTGCATCGCTTACGAAGTTTGGAAAATAAGTTCAAAAAATCACCAGAACTTCATAAAGAGTACAATATGGCAATGTATGACTACTTAGAAACAGGTCACATGTCCGCTGTAGTGAAAAAATCCGACGGTGAAGAAAATATGTATTATATCCCACACCAAGCTGTATTACGTCCGGAAAGTACTACTACTAAATTGCGGGTCGTGTTTGATGCGTCCGCAAAAACTTCTTCGGGTCACTCATTGAACGACAATCTTTATTGCGGTCAAAGATTACAGCAGGACTTACCGGGAATTGTTTTACGTTTCCGACTTCATTCTGTTGTTTTTACCGCTGACGTAAAACAAATGTTCAGACAAATTGTTGTGACCGAAGCTCACCGACCGTACCAACGCTTGCTTTACCGGTTCTCTTTGGATGAACCAGTTCAAGAATATCAAATGAACACGGTAACTTTTGGACAAAAGTCATCTCCATTTCTCGCCATCCGCACTCTGCATCAGTTGGCAACTGATGAAGCAGTAAATGAACCACTTGTACAAACAGTTGTTAAACGTGATTTGTATGTAGATGACATAGCAACCGGAGCCGAAAGCGAAGAAGCTGCAATAGATCTGCAGAAAAAACTCGAAAACACGTTTGCAAAAGGTCACTTTGAGTTACGCAAATGGTCAAGTAATTCCGACAAATTACTGAGTAACATTCCACTCGATCACCAACAAACACTACCAGTGACGTTTGAAGAACATGAGTTGACATATACCAAAGTCTTGGGACTAAATTGGGATCCGAAGGTTGATTCACTAAGCTACAAATATCAACCCAATCCGGTTAAATACAGCAAGCGAGCTATTTTATCCGAGATCGCTAGAATCTATGACCCTCTAGGTCTATTGGCACCAGTAACCACGGTTCTAAAACGTTTGATAAAATATCTATGGGTCTTGAAAGTTGACTGGGATGACATTATACCCGAAGATGCTAAATATGCGTGGCAGCAATATCATCAAGAGTTACCAATCCTGGCAACCTTGCGTGTATCCCGATTAGTAACCAGTCCAAACGCACTCTATGAACTACACGGTTTCAGCGATAGTTCGGAAGCCGCGTACGCAGCAGTAGTGTATTTGCGGGTATGTACAAGTGATAGAATAGGTTGTCATCTCTTAATGGGTAAGGCAAAAATTTCTCCAACCACAAAAATGTCCATCCCGCGGTTAGAGCTGTGCGGTGCGTGGTTATTAGCACACCTTTTGGATTACGTCTCCAAAAACCTAAAATCTTTATCCATTGGCACCGTAACCGCCTGGACCGATTCCACTGTTGCGCTGGCATGGATTAAATCCCCTACTAGTAGGTTAAAAACGTTTGTTGCCAACCGAGTCGCCCAGATTCAGCTGTTGACTAAAGGGTACACGTGGCGTCACGTTCCAACCGAGGAGAACCCTGCTGATTGCGCTTCACGGGGTCTAAGTCCTCAACAACTTACTAACCATGACTTATGGTGGAAAGGTCCTACATTTTTGTGTCAACCTAAAAATACTTGGCCAGCTCAAAACGCTGACAGTCCAGACAGCCGTTTGGAAGAAGAGGCGGAAGAGAAGCCAATCACGCTTATATCTCAGGTAAAAGAAGAAGAGAGCCGCCTTTTATATCAATCTGATAATCTGCAAAAAATTTTGAGACTTACGGCTTACTGGTTGCGTGTTGGAGATCATTTATTGGGAAAACCTTCGGCTTGTATTTTCCCTCCGACAGTGGCCGAAACCGAGAGATCTTTACGATCGTTAATACGATGGACGCAGCGAGTATTTTTTGCAGACATCAAAAAAGCTATTGCTACAGACAAACAAGTACCTGCATCCGTACGTAAGTTATCACCTTTCTTAGATGAGAAATCGTTAATCAGAGTAGGTGGTCGCTTGAAAAACTCACCAATTCCTTACGACGAAAAGTACCCCATCTTGCTACCGAAAAATTCTAAATTGACTGAATTGCTGATAGATTTTGTGCATCGTACTAAGAGTCATCCGGGAGCTCAAACTACACACAACATTTTACGCCAAAACTACTGGATTCTTTCGGCTCGTAGCATCATCAGGAAGCGAATACACCAATGTATCCCATGTTTTCGAGTAAAACCACGACCAAACCCGCCCTTGATGGGAAATCTTCCAGTGTTTCGAGTTACCCAGGTCAAACCGTTCAGTCGCGCTGGTGTAGATTTTGCCGGTCCTTTTCAAGTGAAGGCCGCAATGTTACGGAAAATTAAAGTTACCAAAGCTTACCTTTGCATCTTTGTTTGCATGGTTACCACAGCAGTTCATATCGAGCTCGTGTCAGACATGTCCACGCCTCTTTTTATTGCCGCCCTAAACCGGTTTATTAGCAGACGGGGTCGTTGCACAGATATTTACAGTGACTGTGGCACGAATTTTGTGGGCAGTCAGCGATACCTAAAGGAGGTAGATACCATAATTAGAGAATCAAAATTCGTTCATCACGTCATCAGTACGCAGATTCACTGGCATTTTAACCCGCCCGCAGCACCACACATGGGAGGTCTGTGGGAGGCAGCCGTCAAGTCTGCTAAGACATTGCTTCACCGTGTGGTTCAAGATAGGATTCTAACCTACGAAGAGCTCAATACCGTTCTACACCAGGTAGAAGCCGTTCTTAACTCGAGGCCTTTATGTACCATGTCATCCGACCCTAACGACTTCACGACCTTAACCGCAGGACATTTTCTTACTATGGAGCCTCTAGTCGCTGTTCCATCTCCTCAGGATGAAATTAGTCAAACCCATATCAGTACCCACAAGCGTTGGTCTTTAATACAGCAGATACATCAACATTTCTGGTCTCGGTGGAAACATGAGTATTTACACAAACTGCAGGAGAAAACCAAATGGAATCGTCAAGTTTCAAATCTAAAAATTGGCGATTTAGTCATTCTCCAAGAACCGACCCCTCCACTCACATGGAGTACAGCTCGAGTGGTTGATACGGTTTCTGGAACTGATGGAGTCGTCCGAGTTGCACAAATACGCACCTCCGCGGGCAAGATCCTCCGCCGCCCGGCGGTGAAGCTTTGTCCGCTACCGTCAAACGTTTGAAGACCTACGGTTCTTCAAGGTGGGCGGTATGTTCAAGCGTTATCAAGCCGGGCACCGTCCCACCACCACCGACTGCACCGACCACCACCGCACCATATCACTTACTATCCGTTTTTTGTTGTTGTTTTACCGCATCGTACCGACCGCACCGTTAACCGCACGCGTAAAAGAAACTTTACACCGTTTTTCGTTATTTGTTGTTGTTTTTTAATTATTAATTACATATCAACCGCCTGCTGTGATGAGCTCGTGTACTTGTGCGACGTTCGAAGAATTAGTCTTGTTCTCGTAAAGTAATCAACAGTTTGCGGGCTTTCACCACCGTTCAGACGACCGTACCGTCTTGCAATACCACCACTACCGACCGTCACCGTTCTCGTATTTTCAAGTTGTAAATATTTGCTTATTGTATAGTTTTAGTTTTAAGTCCTTAGTAATTGTTGTTGTAGTGCGCTGGCCAGCCGGTAAGACATTTGTATACTTAACTTTGGTTTAATAGTAGTCTGCATGCTTTAATTAACATTTGTTTTTTTTTGTATATATATTTGAAACCAATACAGTCCACAACATTACCGAACATACATATTATATAATAATAAAAAATGAATAGGTTGTTCATTACTTTAATGACAAAATTAATGGCAAACAGGGTGACTTTTATAGTAAAAAATATATTGTTATGTATTACTTAAAATTAAATCGATTACGAGACATTATTTCAGAAATAGTCGGATATTTTGTATTATTAGTCCAATACATCCTATACGACGGCATTTTTAAAATAGACATGACCATATGAAGACTTAGAAACTGTTCCATTTCGTTGAAATTTGTGTTTATAGATTTTGTGTTTTTTTGTGTTGAATACAAATTAGTCTGATAAACAATATTTTCAATTAAATCGGAATCTAATAATTGTTTGAAATACGCTAAAGGTGTTAATGATGATAAAGGAGGATTTAAAATAATAATGTTACGTGGATAATTTTGATTTTGCCAAGACCCTTTTACCCAATTAGGTGGTAAATAATTATCTAAATCACTTTCGGTGTCTTTTTCAACATCATCTGGATCTTCTACTTCATCGACATGGTCTATTAACTCTCTCGTTAACTGTCAAAACCATTTAATTTTTAATAATGTTTTATAGAAAACACGCTTATAGTATAATTATAATCAGTAAAATGATCATGGTCGCTAAGTAATTGCTATGATACATATTATATAATAATAAAAAATGAATAGGTTGTTGATTACTTTAATGACAAAATTAATGGCAAACAAGGTGACTTTTATAGTAAAAAATGTATTATTATGTATTACTTAAAATTAAATGTGCCTCGCCTCTCATCAAACACCGTTCCCTTTCCTAAATTAAAATAACTACTGTTAATTTATAAATAAATATAGAAAATGTATAATACTGCTAACCAAAATACCTAAATTGTTATGTTCAATGAATTTTTCCATTTTAAATATTTGTATTGTAATGATATCCTCAAAGACGTTCTTCAATTTCATTTAGATTTAACGCCATGGTAATTTTACTAAAAGAAATATTACTAATTTGTCAAAATCAATTGTGTGTTATGACACAGAACCTAGCCCCAATGATGCCATATGGAATGATCCATTGTCATCACAGTATCGTAAAAACTAACAATCACACAAGAAAACAAACTATACCATTATAATAAACAATACATTTTAATGCAGAAAAAGTATTCGTACATAAAAAATATGTTTAATACTTACCATTAAAAATGTTAGATGATGTAACAAAACGCTGCTACTAGAAAAGTATATATTTTTTCAAAACAATGATAATAATGTTATCAAAAATTAAAAAAACCGTTAAGACCTCCTCGACTTCTTACTATAGAAAATAAACTTTCAAGACTATCTTAATTAAGCCTGTGAGTAAGAATGTAAGATATATCATATTTTTCCATCAAATCTTTGAAAAGTAATTGAGTAGATTTAATAGAAATTAAAATACCTTTTTGAATTGTTAGCAGTGTGTTTTTACCTTTGCATCTCATTGAATATATTAACTTATACGTATTGTCTAAACAATTATTCTGGTCTTCTAAATTTAAGCCATATGGCTTTTTGGTACACAATGTTTCAGATGGTATATATGAGTTCATTATATCGAACCAATTACTTATGGTTTCAATAAACTGTCCAGTATTTTTAGATAGTGCCTTGTCTGAACCAGGTTTGTAATGATCTAAAGCTGTAGCAACACTATGGGACAGTAACTGTGCTGCTAATCCTACATTTTGTCTTTCAGCCAGGTATGATTTTTGATCTATAAAGTTGCTACACAAAGAAATCGGTTCAGCGGTTTACGAGATATCGTGGGCCCAGACACAAAAAAAAAATTAAAACATCATTGTAATAACAATACCTTCTCAGTTCCGCACTGAAGCTAAAATAAATTTGCCCTTATCTGGCTCAAATATATATTTTTTTAAATTGAAACCAATACTTACAACCTGGTACATTATGGTTGTAACAATAATAATAATACTGATAGTGGTATAATAATAATTAATTAATAAACCATATGTGTGTAAGAAACAATTTTTTTTTTAATTCTGAGTAAGACAAAACCAAATCAAAATTTAATTGTGAAAAGTGTCAATCAATAAATTAAATTTGTTTTGTTTCAGAGGAAGAAACAGTAGCAGACATGGGTAAAAATAAATTTCTATAACCATTGAAACGGTCCTTTTCAGGCCCAACACATACAAATTAAGTATATCTTAGGGCCGTACCATACAGTAGACAAAATAAAGGCCTCTGATTGGCCGACCAATCAGAGCGCGGAGTCAGTAATTAAAAACTCGTTTTTCAGCCGAGTCTGCAACCACGAAAGAGCATTTTCATGTCTCGTTGAAGTACCGAAAAAATTTAGATTTGGTGTGGAATTATAATAAAAAAAGTTTTTCAACCGAGTCTGCAACCACGAAAGAGCATTTTCATGTCTCGCTGAAGTACCGAATAAATATAGATTAGTTGTGGAATTATAATTTTAAAAAAATATTACATGGAGCTTCCAGTTCACGGACTTTAGTAAAGCTTTTGACTCGGTTATTCATAGCCGTCTTATCTTGACGCGGTCGCATCGCGACTCCGGTGGTGGTCGAGTGCTAATCACACTCGCCACCGCCGGATGGCGCCCGTGCCCGCTTTTCCCTCCAGTCGTCCGACAGGCCGCGCTCGCCGGATGGACGGGTTGGCCGCAGCCGCCGCCGCCGTCGACCACACACTTCGATTTCGACCGAAGAACGTCTTGACGACACGTTTTGTTTTTATTTTGTTTATTTCATTGTATTAAACAAAATTGCTACTTAATACCTAAACACCTGGCTACCCTCAATTAACCCTCTCCTGACCGTAACAAAATCGTTTGGCGCAGTCGGTATTTCAGACTTAAAGGGACTTAAGGTAAGTGCAAATTTGAACTGGGTGTATTACCGGTCACACCCTTTGTCAAGTGCCGAAAAGAAATACTATGCAGGTTTTGCCCCTAAATGGTTGGGGCCGGTACAATTGGCAAAGAGGTTAGGCAGGGGAGTGTTTAAAACCCAAGGGAAGGTCCAGCTAAAGTTACATGTTTCGGCCCTAAAAGCATCTAGCTCTGGAGTAAACCCTTAAACGAAATGTTAATGTTCCCTTTGTTTCTGTTGATAGCATGGCTGAACAGAATCGTTTGTTCCGCCCGTCGCGACAGGTGGCCGCACACACGGCGATCCAGTTGAGGGAGCAGGCCCGAAAACTGTGGAAAGCTGCCACGGCGCTGGAGGGTCGACGGACCAGGGAGACCCTGGAGGACTGGACCCCGGAACGCATCCGGAGAGCGGAGCTCTGGGAGCTGAGGGCCAACGAGGTGGTGTGGGCGGCCTATGACCGCGGATTCGAGGACGGGGGTCGTCGACCACGGCCAGCCGAGGGGCACGCCGCCGCCAGGTCACGTCGACCGCGACCAGCAGCCGCGTCCCACAGCCACTGGCCACGCCAGTCAGCGCAAAACGGGCTGGAACAGCAGCGGCCCAATCATCGGCACAGCGTGCGCGATGGGATGGGGCGTTTTCGTCAGCTACCGCAGCCGCCACCACCACACCCTTCGTCAGCGGTGGATATCGCAGCGACACCGGTGGTTGACCTAGGTCAACGTGTTGACCCGGCAGGTGGATGGAGGGAGTTCAACTTCCTCCAACCGGACACGGTCCAATTGATGGAGGTTGCGCCGGACGTCGACGCATTCTTGTCATCGGGTCCGACAGTCCTTCCGGATTGAAGCCCGACCTGTCGGACTGGGGGGGGGGAGTATGACGCGGTCGCATCGCGACTCCGGTGGTGGTCGAGTGCTAATCACACTCGCCACCGCCGGATGGCGCCCGTGCCCGCTTTTCCCTCCAGTCGTCCGACAGGCCGCGCTCGCCGGATGGACGGGTTGGCCGCAGCCGCCGCCGCCGTCGACCACACACTTCGATTTCGACCGAAGAACGTCTTGACGACACGTTTTGTTTTTATTTTGTTTATTTCATTGTATTAAAATAAATTGCTACTTAATACCTAAACACCTGGCTACCCTCAATTAACCCTCTCCTGACCGTAACAACATCAATCTCTGAAATAGAATCACTCGGTATTGGGGATCCTTTACTATCCTGGCTCCAATCTTATCTTATTCCAAGAATGCAATTTGTGAGAATTCATGGTGCTACTTCTGACTTGTATATAACTACCTCTGGAGTTCCCCAAGGAGGACATCTTAGTCCTCTTCTGTTCATCATTTTCATCAACTCAATTAACAGTTACCTTTCATTCTCCAAAGTCCTTCTATTTGCTGATGACATTAAAATTTATTCTAAAGTTACTTCCATCTCCGACTGCCGTCAACTTCAGTCAGATCTCGACTCTTTTTGTCTCTGGACTCAGCGTATTGGCCTTACACTCAATCTTGACAAGTGCCATAGTATGACATCCCATAGAAAGCGAACTCCTATCAACTTCTTTTATACCCTCAATGGTTCTCCTCTTGATCGTGTTTCTTGTGTCAAAGACCTTGGAATCCATCTAGTTCCTTCTCTCTTTCGAACAACATATTAATATTGCAGTTGGTAGAGCCCTAAAAGTTCTGGGTTTCATAAAGCGCAACACTACCCTTTTCACATCCCTCACTTGTCTACGTTCCCTCTATTTCTCTCTTGTCCGCTCTATCCTGGAATATGGAACAGTTATATGGCACCCGTATTTGGCTAAGAACCAACTAGGTTTGGAGCGAGTACAAAACCGATTCCTGTCCTACGTTGCTTTACTGCTTAAGATTAATCACCCGCCCCATGACTATTTGTCCATTAGATCTTCCTTAAATATCCCTAGTCTTACTTCTCGCCGTGTAGATGTTGACCTTTCATTTATCACCTCTCTTCTTAATGGCTCAGTGGATGCCCCTGACCTTCTCTCTTCTATCTCTTTCCGCGTTCCCGTGCATTATACTAGAAATCACTCTCTTTACCTAGTCCCCTCTCACAGTACCAACTACTCTCATAACCATCCTTTGCATACAATGCTCCGTCTACTCAATAACTCCTAGATCCGTACATATTATTCTGAATTATTATATATTAATATAAGCTATTTAATTTTTAGTCGTATTGTGCAATAGCATTTAATGTTTATCATTTTTCTGTAATATCACCTTAATCACTATTATTATTGTAATTTTTTTTTTTGTGCTTAACTTGTTATTGTATCTCTTTGAATTGCCGATTAGCGTTAAATAAATAAATAAATAACTAGATCAATGTAAATATAAGTTTAAAAATTAAAAAAAAAAAATCATTGGAAGTGTCACTAATGAGTGGTTTCTTCCATCAAAATGTATTCATGTAATTTATCTCTACTTTTATCATATATGCTTATTGTGCTCATTGTACAGAAAAAAAAATGTTATCAAAGAATAAAGTAAATATATTGTTCTGATAAACCGAGTTGAGTTAATCATAGAACAAAAGGAGTAAGGTCCTACGGCAATAACCGGAGAACCGCTTCACCATTTAAAATAATATAAACTAATATATAATTTTTTTTTTAGCGGCAAGAGTGGAATGCCACCACATAAATTAAGATTTAATATAAAATATTTATTATTATTTATTAATAATATATATAATTATTATTTCAAATCAGTGTTGAGAAAGTTCATTTTCAAAAGGATCTCGTTCCAGATCCAGTTCCTCTAAAAAAGAATTCGTTCCTTTTTTCTAACCAAGTTATTTAAGAAATTATTATTATTATTATAAATTTTATTGTGAGGTTAAAACTATCTTGTGATTTCAAGATATCACGTTTTTCGTTAAATTATTTGTTTAATATCATTGAAGGCTATATTAATACCAGATTAATATATTAAATATTGAAATAATTCTGTAATACCCTTAAAAATGTTGATTTTAATTTTCATAATGAATCTAAACATCGGCGATTATGTTTGGGTTTCGATTAGAACATTTTAGATTTAAATATGTACTTTCAATAATTGTCTTTTTATTAATATAATGATGTTTATCCTATGATATGTATTCCAAACGCTAAAAATGTAAATTATTTATACATTAAGTTCAGATGACTTTGTCAGGGGAACTTTAAAAAAATTAAAATAAATAATGATATGTATATATGTATGATATGTTATTTGTTTATTATAATTAGTGTGACCAGACGTCCCGATTTTGGCGGGACAGTACCGATATTCAAGCAGGTGTCCCGCTTAATATGGTGATCAAATCGGGACAGTAAAATGTACCGACTTTTAATCGATGTCCCGATTTCAAACAATAGTTATTTTTTTCTTATTTTCACTTATGGTGTGTATATTTTGTGTTCCATCAGATCACATCAGTTTATTTTGTACAGTTTCTATAATCTATACTGTGATATCACTTATTATCATAGAGACCTAGACATTGGTTTTTATCACGTTATGATCTGGACTCTCAATCGGCTATAGGTAACCACGGTTTTAGAAATGAAACGCAAGTGGTTACAAGTGATAAAAAATCTCCTTTATTACTCAAATCTATTACATCAAATGATAAATACTTTTTTTATCTGTATTAAATATTTTATAAATTTGTATTAAGTATATTTAAATTTGGTTTTTATCCTACTTTGATTATAATTATAAGTTTACTTGTTATAATATTTAATACTTGTTTTTTAAAGTTACATTTTGTTTTTATAATTTTTTTGTTAAGTATATAATATACTTAATTTTATTAAGGTATTAATAAAATAAATATTTTAAGTTCAATGAAAAATTGATTTAGATTTTGATTTTTATCCTATTTTGATTATGATTTTTTTTTTGCAATGTCTAATTTTAGCACGACGAAATAAAGGTGTACCCAAAACCAATTATTAAGGGAAATTAAATCCTCCTACGAGTACTATTTTATGAGGAGGGATACCCCACTTCCTCTAGTTCCTTTTGAATACTTGTCCCGCCTTTATAGAATTTTGATCTGGTCACTTTAATTATAATAATTTATATTCTGTTATACTCGTTTTACTATATCATGTATTCTATGTTCAATTTGTATTAGACGTAAATTTTTGTACACTCTTTGCCCTTTGGGCGTAAATAAATAAATAAAATAAATAATTATATTACAATATCATTATATATATATATATGTATAAAAAGAAAGGTGTTCGGTCACTACATGATAAATAACAATAATAATAATTATTATTTGAATACTTTTTTTAATAGAAAATTTAGTTATATAAAAAATGTTTTTGGTTAAAAAACAAAATTTCATAAAAAATGTTCCAATTGACATGGTGACATTTACCGGTAATGGTGGAAATCGTGGTGAGGTGCTTTTTGATTCTTGTGTCTACGATTTTTTCGAATAGTTCGCCGGGTATGTTGTTGAGCATGCACTATGGTCGGTACAATGACGGTTCTTCCAGTAATTTATGGCCTTTTCTAATGAGTACCAGCCTTGCCTTCTTCCATATGTTGCGAGAAGTACCTTGCGTCCTGTGTTGATGCTTGGGGAACAGACTGTCGATCACATGTTCTATCCTTGCTGGAGTGTGTCTGACTGGTAAGGGTCGGAGTCCACCATCTTACATAGTTCTGGCCTCGACAGTTCTTTTGCTTTTTTTATGGCTTTTGTCAGTTCCAATTTCGCTTTCTTGTAAGCTTCTTTGTGTTGTATACAGGCATCTTCCTCTAACCGTCTACGTTTGCGTTGGTATACTCTGCTAAGGTGAATGCCATGGGATCAACTAGAACAGGAAGGGCCGCCTCCAAGGCAACCAGCTATGACTACCGCTCTGCAACTAATGGCTGGGGAGAAACGAGGTAAGAACAGAATAATTTAAGGTCTCATACAATAGTAACGGTGGTTTTCGATGGTCTAGGTACCGAGCCAGGAAACGATACGCCCTTTGGTCGAGGGGCGTTAGACAATTAAGCGGACCAGGGTGTGCTTTTCTCAACACTGGGCTTACTCGGGGAGACAAATCGCACAAAGAACTCCGGGAGAACATCACAAAGAAAATTGTTATAAGAGTTTGGGAGATATTAGGAAATCATTAATTGTAATTTTTATTGACGTTTAATAAAGGTCACAAATATAATCTTAATCGTTAATTAATATAAATATTAATATTTTTGGGGTTAATATAGTTGTTAATATAAATATAAATAATTACTTATATTAATTAAAAATAAAATTTGTAGCTTAGTTCGTTATAACACTGAAAGCCTCAAAATGTCTTAAATGAGAACTAGAAATGCATCAAAAATAAGAAAGCAATATGGTGATACGCACATTTTTAAAAATAATTTATATCATTTTTTATAATATTCATAGCAGTATTTGCGA